GAAGAATGATATAGTTTTTTGTTAAACAGTACTTGGATAATCTAGACGCCGTAGTGGCAGAAGTAATGAAAGCTGTTAAATTTGGTATGGTTGAAATATAAAGAAATTACAATAACCACGCGGCGTTGGTGGTACCGTGGTTAGGTAGGGTCAGCGAGGCTGATATGAAAACTTTGCGCCCCAAATATGGACAGTTCTACGGGTTTGAGTTCTCTGTTCCCTCTCATACCGAGATGGTGACACTGTTGGCAATATCATATCGTTAAGAAGCATTTCATTCGCAGCACACCGCCACTGCAATTTCATATTCACCTTTATATATCATGATGTTGAATACAGTACAGCAGAATTGCGTGATCAAACAAGCAGATGAGCCACATCAAGGGTGAGCGGGTTCCAACATGTCCTGTACTGTGGTCACAAAATGAATGCTCAAAGTGTCATGTTGTCCAAGTTTTCTTGGTAGCTACAGGAAGGACCATATGTAGCTACGTCCGCGTGGCGGCAGTGCCTGCCTGCCATAGCATCCTGGACATGTAGTGGATGTGCCAAGAAGGATATTCAGAAAGTGTGGTCTTCCGTCACATGTATCACGATGAATTTCAAATTGGAGTATTGAGTATTTTAAATGATGTTTGATTGGCGTTACTCAAGTCTTGTCCCATCCTCTCTCTAGGAATCTCATGCTTTCTCAAGTGGCTTGTTCTCAAACACTGCGGGTTTTGCTGCCACAACATCGGGAGGGGCCTTAGCCACCTTTCCAACATCCTCGAGTTTTCCAGATAGGAATGCGAGTGGAAGATTTGGTCCCCAAATGTAGAGCGAGTTCGGTCCTGCAGGTTCTCTGTGAAACGGGGAGTCCCGATTGACCAGATCTCCATCTGAATAATGCTCGACCACATTTCCCGACGCATCAAACCTTCAAAACAGAGGTCAGATGCATTATAATATATGTAAGCAGTAGGGCCGATAGGACACTCACCAATAGTCAAATATCTGACTCCCAAGAACATGTCTTCCAATCCCCCAGCAATTCGTCCAGCCCTTTGATCTAAGCCAGTCGTGGCCTAGGATCTGTGTATCAAAGTCATTGACCTCGAAGCTGCAGTGATGTGGATATGCCACAGTCGAAGTCGCAGATGAACCGACAAAGAAGGCCTGCAACGTTGAAAGGTGTCAGTGATGTAGAATTAAGTATACGAGTTCGTCTAGAAAGAAATGATTATTATCACTGACATGATGATCGGTATATTCCTCCCCTAGATCGATGTGAGTGAAACAGGTGATCTCCTCATCTGTTTTTGGATCGAAAATCGCATCCGTTGGCTTCAAATTGAGAACAGAAGTGTACCAATTCATCGTCTCTTGATATCTTGCTTTTGGAACGCCAATGCCGAAGTGGCCGAGTTTGTGAACTGGACTTGGACCCTGTTTGAATCTGCGAGTCGGTCCTTCTCGGAGTTTCTCAGTAGCTGTGTTGGGACGAGCATCACTGGTGGCTAGTTCAAGCTGAAGTGAGTCGTCTTGAGAGGTTCTGAGAGTTTGTCCGTGTAGAAACCCAACGACGAAGCCATGTGGATCCTTTACTCTGACAACTTTACCGCCCCCAGGGCCATCAAGGTCCTGTATTGCTGTGGCGCCTGGTAGGGTCGTTGCATTTTCCAAGTCTTTGGCGGTGCACGCGTTCCAATAAGCTCCAATAAAATGCCGGCTATCATCTGGCGATTGCTCTGCGAGGTAGACGTACGGCTGGGTGCCATTCCCTCTCAGGAAGGCTCGAGTTGCCTGTCGGTCCTCTTCGACTAAACCAAAGTCTTTGAAAAAATTCAAAGCATTTTCAAGGTCAGAGTGTTGATAGTGCACGAATGCAAGACTCTTCACCTGTATCTTGGTCAACACCATGTTGAATGATCTTGGTGGTTGCGATTATCAGACCTGGGACCCGAGGGAGAAGAGCTGGCGGACAATTTAACAAGCCTTTTGTCAATCCGGAAATATGTCAATAGTCTCGGCGCCAAGGTTAGTAGTTCCTGGGTCAATGCGCACGGAGGCGGAAGTGAAGTAATAGTTCCGGGGTCACAACAAACGACATTTTACCGCGGCTTCTCATTCAACCAAATCCAGACAACCATGCCAACATCCGTCGTTCCAAAAATCGCGGGGTATTATTAAGACTTCTTTTCTTTTACACTTCGAGTCTGGTTAGTGGATTTGCTAATTGTTCGAACCTACTGCGGCTGAATAGCTTCCTCTGATGATTGAGCTTCTCTAATGATATCAAGTTGCACATCGCTAAGAGTTCGTAAAGCCGTCCCCACTTTCCCTTTTGTCACTAATAAATAAATCTCCATAGTTAATGTTAACTGAACAACTCTACATCCCTATCACCCCTCCTCCTTTCGCCAAACCATGAATCTGCGGACCTTCATTGGCCATCCTCATCCTCCCCCCCTGCACGCCCCGCTTTCAGCTGAAGTTTGTAGTGAACGCCAGATCGTGAGAAGAATGCGTGAGTCGGGAGAGCCCTGCGTCATTCCAGTCTGCTGAGTCTATATTTCTCAGTGCTTTATTGACGAAATTAAATAATTCCGAAGCTGCTCTGGTTCTTCCACGCACTGTGGGCAACTTTGTGTGTGTTTGTGACTAAGCTTACTTTTCCCGCCTCATTAGCTTGGGGTAATGCAGGGTTATAATGCCGTGTCCACCACATTCTTCAAAATGCCGTGAGGAGCGGCGCTCACTTACACCACCAATTTAGCTCCACTTGACGAAAGTCCGGGGAGTGCGCCCAGACCAACTTTGCTCTTCCCCAGTTTTAATATTGGGACATTTGTCGGGTTCTCGATTCGGCATCCCCAGATCTCAAATCATGGGGCCCCGCATTTTTCGTGAACCAAGGATTTCGACTTATAAAAGCGCGCCCCTGATCATATTATGATATTGCAACAGTGGTTCTCCTCGAAAAGAATTTCTCTCAGCAATTCAGGTTTTTGATTAATTTCGACTCGCTATGGCTCTCGGAGTCCTTGAACACAATTCTGGCGCTGGGCACCATGTGCCGGTAATTTATCTCCCCTTCCACCTCCGTTCTTTCTCCAAAAGGCGCCTTGGCACAAGTTAAAATCTAACTCCAAAACAGGGTACTGTTTTACTCGATGCTGAGACAAATACAGCAGAGCTCGAGCTCTCGGATCTCAGGAAGGGGACTGGAAAGAACGCTCATGTGATTCTGGTGCCTCAGCCTTCCAATGACCCAAATGATCCGCTCAATTGGCCGCTATGGCAACGAGATTGCATACTAATACTGTTCTGTTTTTGCACGGTATTAGTGACCGGAGGGTAGGTATCAGGGTAGCTTATAGATATCAACAACTAACGGTGACTCAGCGTCGGTCCCCTCTTATCGTCGATGGCTCTTCCGATCATGACGGAATTCGGAATCACGTTCACGGACTTCTCGCTGCTCACCGGTTACCAGCTATGCGCAGCTGGGGCCACTGGCATTTTCATATCCGCATGCGCACGCAAATATGGAAAGCGACCCACAAGTCTGTTTTCCATGTCTGCTGTTCTAGCAGGATGTATCTGGGCTGGCCGTGCACAATCCTATGGTTCTTTGGTTGGTGCTCGAGTTTTGCAAGGTCTCGGACTGGCATTTTTCGAGAGTGTTACATTTGCCATCGTTGGTGATCTCTTCCACGTCCACGAGCGAGGGAAGCGCATGGCAATATATGTGATGGCCCAGTCCGGTATTGCCAATCTGCCGTCGTCCATTGCCGGAAAGATCACGATGGATCTTGGCTGGCGCTGGGTTTTTTACCTGCTATCTCTGTTTGTCGGCATTGGATGGCTCTGTTGTGTCCTCTTCGGTTGGGAGACTGCCTTTAACCGTCGTGCAGTATACAACCTGGATACGAATTCTAACGATGTGAGTTTATGCCCGCAAAATTCTTAACTTCTTTTAACATCAAAGTAGGCTGTGAACAAGGTTGACTCGCACAAGAGTCAATCCGCGACTCATGTAGAGACTCTTGAGAAGACAGCGACCGAAATATCAACTGCAGCGCCTGCCCGTGAGCATTACCTTGGGAGGATGAAACCCTATCATGGCTCATTTTCGGATGAATCGCTCCTCAAGATGCTTACGCGGCCTTTCTTTGTCCTGATCAATCCAGCGGTCGCCTGGTCCATTCTGATGGTTTCATTTTGTTCAGTGTGGGTGATTGGCATATCCCTAGTCATCGCTCAGATTTTCTCTGCGCCTCCATATTTACTCAACACGGCCCAATTGGGTTACATAGCGTTTGGCCCAGTCATCGGCGGCTCTATTGGATGTATAATTTGCGGAGCACTGTCCGATCCTGTGGCTCGATGGATGACGAAACGGAACAATGGCATTTATGAGCCTGAATTCAGGTTGCCACTGATGCTTCTCCTGCCCTTCGTTTCCACCATCGGGTACTTCCTCTTCGGCAATCTCATTACAGAAGGCAAAAGCCCTGTTGCTGCTGCTGCCATGTGGGGCGTCGTCTTCGTCTCAGTCCAAGTCGCAGCGGTGTCCACAGGTACGTTTCTCACGTTTCTCAATGCAATACGATGCTGATCAAGGATTCTGTAGGTGCTTATATTGTTGATGCTTTCCGGGACATCAGCGTCGAAGCTTTCATCATATCCATGACGGTGAAAAATTTCCTGTGGTTCGGATTTTCTTGTAAGTCCCATGAGATGGTTTTCTGAGAGAAAAGACCTTTGAAAATATGAGTTGTACTGACATGTTCCTCGCGCCCAGACTTCTTGAACGATTGGCTTGCTACAAAGGGAGCTTCCTCGATGTTCGGTACTATTGGAGGTATCCAGCTTGGGCTTTCTCTGACAACCATTCCGATGTACATTTACGGAAAGAGAACTAGGGCCTGGTGGCACAGCAACAACGCTCTCCGTGTTCTCAATTAGATTGCCGTAGGTTTAGTTGATTATGCGAAAGGATAAGGGGGTACTTTGGAATTAGCTAGTCCTTGCAACGGCACGCACTTCTCTGATCTTTCTTCCCCAAGGCCAAAACATGCCCGCCGACGTCACGTTGCGGTCTACATAAGTAACGAGAACCTTTGCATGATACAGCGTCACCCAAGTTTTCGTCACAATTCTTTGATGTGCTTTTTGCCCCATGAAGTTTCCACGCATGGAGCCAACTCTGCTCAGACTTGCGAAGGTTCTCTCCATTCTAGGAAAACACCGGCATTAACCTACATGCCGTAAAAGAGCGTCAGCAACCAAATGGGTGCGGGCCTCGATGAATACTTGGTCATAAAATCATGCACTCAAATCTAAAACGTCCAGTAATGAGGCATACTTGTAGCGCCACGCCTCGATAAATATTTACGCATGTCCGGTAAGCTGATACCCCAGGTTGAGCTACCCAAGAGCTAAGTGCGTTTACCGTTTTATTCGTCTTTAGCCGAACTTCTTCTATGTGAGCTTTCCACTGTAGCTTTGTGTCTATGATTACTCCCAGATACTTGCAGGTGGACTTTAGTGCGATGTCGCCCCGTATTGTCTGAATTATTCTATTTGTGTCGATGCCTGTTCGTGATCGAGTGAAGTGGATCAGCTGGAACCTTTCCGGGGCAATCACCGATGCGTGATTTGCGGCCCAACGTTGCACTTTCTCTAAAGTCTTGCCGAGCTTCTTGCAGGTTTCCGCTGTTGTATCTCCTCCTATTAGGATCGCTGCGTCGTCGATATAGCCTATTGACGTAGTATTTTCTTCGATATTGCATTCCTCAATGAGTCGGCATTGTAAAAGAGGTATAGAATGGCCGATAGCGGGGACCCTCAAGGTACACCCGTGTTGATTACGTATTCGTTGGATTTGTAACTATCCATAGCAATACGCATTCTCCTGTCCCTCGGAAAGCTTGCAATCCACCTTGCTAGTTCCTTATCTACCCGTCTCTTGCGTAGGTTATAGAGCAGCCGTTTGTGGGAAACGTTGCCGAATGCTCCCGAAACGTCGAGGAGCAGTAGACTCGCTACCTGGCCTCGTATATATTCTTGAGGACATGCTCGGCCAACCATAGTTCCCCGCCCCCTATATGCAACTCTAGGAGGACCTAGTAGGTTTCTGCTAGGTAACTGAGCCTTCGGGCTATAACTCCATCCATAACCTTTCCGATTGTATTAAGTAAGGCTATCGGTCGGTAGGCTTTCGGCAATATGCAATTTTCTTTCCCTGGCTTGTGCAGGACTGTTGTGACGGATTTGCAGATATAGGCTGGATAGCAGCTTAGGTGTAAGCTTTGGTTGTAGGTTCTTGTCAGATAAGGTGTGACTAAGGGAGCAGATGCTTGTAATACGCAGTTTGGGATACCGTCCGAGCCAGAAGCTTTATGCGATGAAGCTGACTTAATCGCATCTAGAACCTCTTTATGTGTAATTAGTGGCAGGTCGACTTGGTTGGAGTATTGTCTACCTTCTTGCTTGGCTCAGTAATGTCCTGTCCAATGCTGGAATGTCTGAGAGCTGCGGTACTATTTACCGGTTAATTACTTCCTATCCTTGCCCACTTGGCGATCGTCTGCAGTAACCTGGGTAGTAATCCCGCTTTTCCCCCTCTATCTCTGTGTAACCGCCGCAGAGCGTTTTTAATCGGTCTTGCCTTTAAGTTCCTTACTATACGCGAAGCTTCCCGGTCCTCTGTCAGCAGGTCGCGGATTAGTGATAAACGCACCCATTCAGATTTCCGTTACTTAAGTACGGTTGTAGATATTATAGATAGTGAGTTGCTCGTCCATTTAGTTGTCTATATTGAACTTAATCTTAGCAGAACATATATCTTTAGTGTGTTCCTTAAACTTGCCACTTTATATAGTTCAGTCGTTTATTCATAAAAAAGCAGATCCTAGTGGGCCCATCTTCATCACCTGACGAATAACATAGGTGAAAGGCTTCCTTTTCTGGACGGTATATTATTGAGATAAACGGGGTTCTCCATAGTTCCTGGATGGCTAACCCGTCATACTTTAATACCCTTAGGTCTTATATAAGATTAGCTATAACTAACCACCTCCCTCGATTTTTAAATATTATACT